GCTATAAAAAAAATTAAAATATTTTGCAATAAATCTGACAAAAGATACCAAAGATCTCTACAATGAAATTTTTAAATCATTACAGAAAGAGATTGAGGAAGACACCAGGAGATGGAAGGACCGCCCATGTACATGGATTGGAAGAACTGATATTCTTAAAATGACCATCCCACCAAAAGCAATATTCAGATTCAATGCAATCCAAATCAAAATCCCCGTGACATATTTCACAGAATTAGAAAAACGCCTCCTTAAATTCATATGGAGGCACAAAAGACCCCAAATAGCCAAAGCAACCCTGAACACAAAGAGCAACACTGGGGGATTACTATACCAGATCTCAAAGTATACTACAGAGCCATAGTCATAAAAATAGCATAGTACTGGCACAAAAACAAATACATATATCAATGTAACATCATTGAACATCCAAAGCTGAGTACACACAATTTCAGCCACCTAATATTTGACAAAGGTTCCAAGAACATACAATAGAGGAAAGACAGCATCTTCAACAAATGGTGCTGGCAAAACTAAATCTCCTCTGTAGAAGAATGAAACTAGATCCTTATCTTTTGCCTTGCATTAAAGTCAACTCCAAATGGATCAAAGACCTCAATGTGAAACTGGAAACCCTGAAACTATTAGAAGAAAATATTGGCAGTAACTTACAAGATATAGATGTTGGAAAGGATTTTCTAAATCAGACAAAAGTTGCTCAGCAATTAAGGTCAGCCATCAATAAATGGGGCCTCATTGAACTAAAAAGCTTCTGTACAGTAAAGAAATAATCAAAAAGTGAAGAGAAAACCCACAGAATGGGGAAAAATCTTCACCAGTGACACATCTGACAGAGGTTTAACATCCAGAATATATAAAGAACTCAAAAAACAAAGAATTGAGAAACCAAATGACCCAATTAAAAGATGGGCTAAAGAGCTAAACAGAGAGTTCTCAAAGGAAGAAATAAAGATGGCTAAGAAACATCTCAAAAAGTGTTCAAAATCATTAGTAATTAGGGAAATGCAAATTAAAACCACCCTAAGGTATCACTTTACCCCAATCAGACTGGCTAGGATCAAGAGAATAAATGATATCAAATGCTAGCAAGGATGTGGAGAAAGGGCCACATTCATTCACTGCTGGTAGGATTACAAACTTGGGCAGTCTTCATGGAAAACAGTGTGCAGAACTCTTTTAATAAGATGATGATATGCAGAAGTTCCTTCTGCATGAAATAAATACCATCATCAAGAATTCAGCTGAGCATGATCGCTAAACATGGTCACAATTGGGCTTGTGGATGGTTTTGCTCATTCATTAAAAGAGTGCCAAGCAGGGTCACTGGACCCTCACCTGAATATCCAACTACTCTTCCCAGCCAACTACTCCAGACTTGTAAGACAAAAGAAAAATGAGGAAGACCCAGTAGAGGGGTGTTTTTGGCAGCCCTTGTCAAGAAACTCCAAGGGACTGTCATATGAACATTTGAAAATTGCCATGTTTTGACTTTTTTCTAGTTCCCTGTCTAGAACATGTAATGCTAATTACTCTTGCCTTTACTTCTCCTTCACATCTCCTATTCATGATTCAAGTTAAAGAAATTGCTCCTATGTTGTTAGAAATGTGGGAAATCACTGAAGGGGTTCTCCAATTGCCTCACCCTGCTTCCCTGTTCAGCATGGAAGAAGCCAGAAAAGTCTGAGTCCCTACTCCCTATTGGCAATTTGGGTAACCCCTTCAAAGGATGGCATGATAAGAATAGGAAGTTGGAATTGGCTAGGCAGTTACGGTAAAAAGACCACAAAGAAATGTAACCAGTTTCTTGGCTAAACATCAAAATTTCCTTGGGCCTCTTAGCAACATACTCTGTTCCAAGGCCAAAAATGTCAAAGGTTTTTGGGAGCTTGTATCTAATCCTTAAAAGATTTTAGGGTTACCTCTTCTGAGGGGGGAATGTTGGGGGGGTAGTAGGCATGGATTTGATCAAAATACCTTATATGCATGTACAAAATTCTCAAAGTTTTTGTTAAAAATAAAAGAAAAAAAGAAAAAAAAGGGAGCCAATAAGTTCACTAATAGATAAACGACAGAAATTTAAAAAACTTGACTCTGTAGACTTTAATATATCTCACAAAATTCATCTGGTGCGGAGTATATGGGGAGGGGAGTAGATTGGGTAGGGTGAGTAGAGGTGATTAAGATGTTTTTATGAAAAGCACAAAAATTCAATTTAAAATTCAAATTGAAAAAATGTAGTACAAGAAGAACATGAGGAAAAACAGTTATTAGCTTGCATTGGCAAGAAATGTGACATGGGAGATAAGGAAAAAATACATAATTAAATCAAGTGATGTTTGCATACTAGTAGTAACTGCATACTTGATATGCAATAAAAGGGGTCATTTGACATTTACCATAGGACAAATCTTGAAACAGCTATAAACTAAATTATCAAAATCTCTTTCTAGTTAGACTATGGCAAAACCATTCTCAGATCTTTATCCCTCTTTACTTAGGACCTCTCACCTGGGCCCCTCCTTCATCCACTCAAACCTACCTGGTTGGCTACAGTCTCCCCGCTCTTCACATTCCAGGGCTCTTTGTTTTGCTCCAGACAGGAGACCAGAACAGGCTTACACACAGCAAGACCTGTGTAGGAGACAGAGGCACATGCGCTTGCTAGATTCTTTAGAAACTGGGATTTCTAACATAGAACTGTGTTCTACTAATAATATAGAGAAAAAGAGATGACTCTCCAAATAATTTCTCAATTTTTATTTTCTGACAGACTCATTAGTATACACAAGGATTTTTTCAGTTTTCATACACTGAGTTCTATCACTGATTCAAAATGCAGCCATGGAAATGGAACCTTAAGATTCTGACTGCAGTATCATGTACTAATGGGTGGCTGAAATTAACACCAAAAATAATGAGTACTATAATAATTCCTCTAAATAAAATAATAATTCCTCTAACAAGTGGAAATGGAAAGTAATGATAGAATATAAACATGTTCTTCATGATGCCAGGACTTTCTCGTTACACTAATTTTTACGGAATCCAAGACTTACCCAGCAAAACTAATATATATACAAACTATACTGTTATCTATCAAAGGATGGAGAATAGTAAAAAAAAATTCTGATAGAAAAATCTCCTCACCTATAGACACCAAATTTCTGTAGTTCTCCAACATCACCTCCCTGTACAAAGCCCTCTGAGCAGAGTCTAGGCATTCCCATTCCTCCTGGGAGACATCTATGGACACATCCTTGAATGTCAGTGGATGCTAAAATAAAAAATGACACTCAGACCACATGCAATTATACAGGGTACTGGACCCAAGAAAGAAAGAGATAATGAGTAAAAAAACTTCTGAATTAGGTGAGAAGTCTAAATTATTGAAAAGGATATTTCTTAATGTAGTAACTATCTATCATCTACTTGCTAACTCTGTGCAAAAAAAGAATAGCACCAGATGTTCCAAATTTTTGTGATGATCAGATAAGGAGCATAGCACATAAATTAGGCCCTCAACATAGGAAAACCATTTCCCTCCTGTATTTGTAGCACACAAGATCATACACTGATTTATAAGTCTTTATCATGAATTTGAATGTTTATAACCATGCATTGTAGTCCCGGCTAAAACACAGATTTTTACCTTAATACGATGTGTGGCTGGGCCTGACTTAACCCTTTCCTAACAGATTTTGCCATGAGGCCAGTGACCCAGGTACAAAAGACACTTTCTCCAACAGCACTGAGTGGAACGTGGCAGAAGATAAAGAACTCTGTGTGCTCTCCCTCCACAGGAAGAAGGCACGATCCTTATGAAGAAAATCCTATACCATGCATTTAATATAGAAAGTACAGAAAGAGCAGTGCAGAATTATTTTAACAATACTTTTATAGTAATTTCTTTTTTTTTAATCTTTATTTACCTACCTAAAATTTATCTAGAAGGAAACACTGGCTGATTTATGCATTCCACAATAAGAGGATTCCAGAACTGGGCTCCTCACAGAAGAGTAATGAAAACATGAAGAGAAGATCCAACACTGGCTGCAATGTTGATGCTGCGCACACAAAGGCTTCCAGGCAACTACACCTGTGTAACAGTTAATAAACAGAGCTTTTTTCTGCAGTTCTAAGAACCAGTCATGGAGACAGTGCTGTGATTGAGTGTGAAGTAGAAATGCCAGCAGAGAGAAAGAGGCCTGCTTCAGAATCCCCACCTGGAGAACTCTATGTAGTAAACAAATGAGAACGGTTTCTTCCTCCAAAGAAAAGAAGAAAACTACAGTGATGAAAGGAGAGATCCTGCATTAAATGTCACGATTCATGTGCTTCACTCTGTAAATTACCAAAAAAACCCTTACTCCAAATAAATTAAAAACAATGATGTCAAAGTCTGGATTTGGTGCAGAGCAGCTCAACCAAGAGAATCAACTTCCAGGAGACAAAAGAATACAGGTGTCAACAAACCCAGCAGCACATTCCATCAAGCCTGTGATGTCAGTGGGATTAAAACGTTGAGCAAAGTAATACAATATTTGAATAAAATAAAACAAAAACATCAGTTTTATGTGTAGTTCAAACAACAACAGAGTGGCATATGAGGACCCAAGTCCATCCTCCTTAGGAACTGAAGACTGATATGTTTGAATTTTCACCTATCACATCAGAAACATTTCTGAGATGGTTGATCATTAATTCATTGGATAAAAAGGAATTATATATAGCCCCTAGCCACTGGCCTCACTGCAAAGTCTGTTAGGAAATGTCTGGAAAAAATAAACATTGGAGGACAAACTGGAGAGGTGGATACGAAACAAATGAAAAGAGTTGATGCGGCCCAGGCATGGTTGTACAAGACTTAACTCACAAGACATCAGAGGAAGAGGTACAAAGATGTCTGTGAGGTCTGGGTTAGCCTGCTCTACATAGCTGGTTTCTGAATCAGAAAAGATTACAAGACCAAAATACCAAATATTTAGAGAAAGAAAGTGTATGTGGTCCAAACACTTGGATTAATTTACCTGAAAAGAAGCCATCTCTTTCCTCCTCCTATGAGTTTCCTTTCCTATGTAAGGCAATCTTATATAAACAGGCTTCATTTTCTTTCAGGAAACTTCCTTTCAATTCACTGTAAATCCACTTCACCTGCCAACATAAGAAGAGGAAGAAGCACCTCAGAAAACAAAACAGGCTGTTCTCACTGTCGCCATCACAGCAGATGTGTAGGAAGAAAGAGCTCAACATGGAGACCCCATAGAAGTTTCTGGTTTCCTGCCTCCCAGTGGCCGCCCTGCCAACAAGATCAAGAATTCCTACTACATCATGGGAATGTAGCCGCCTCACCTCCTTACCTAAACAAGGCGGAGTAACACGGTTTTCATCCTTTGGAATAGAGGCTACACTAAGCTTTTCTTCAGAAGCACTGGCAGCTGACCCCCAGCCTCACTGTCTTCTGCCTGTGACTGTTAATGAAACAGCACTGATGCTTCTACTGAGCTTCACAGACAGAACATGTGGGGGAGGCACAAGGGAGGGTTTTTCTTTTAAAGGCTGAAGTTCAGGAGTTGTTCATTCCGAGATTTAAAAGTCTATTCTTGGAGCTGGAGAGATGGCTCAGAGGTCAAGAATACTGGGTATTCTTGGGGAGGACCTGGTTTGGGTTTGCAGCACCCAACTGGTGCTAATAACTGTACTTAACACCAGTTCCAGTGCTTCCCACACTGTCTCCAGTCTCCACAGACACTGCTTATATCTGAACGTACATACACACAAGCACAACACTCTTACCCATGAAATAAAATCTTTTTTTTTCAAGATGCAAAGTATTTTATTTTTAAACTTCTAAAATTTGAGAACAAGGTAGCCTAGGTTAAATGACAGTTTTCCAAAGCTAAAGCACTCATGTGGAGCTGTTTTTCTGGCTGACACACAAACAATTCCCAACACCCTAGGTGGGCCCCTACATTCTGATCTGAGAGAGGAACTGACCGACCTCAGCTGGTAATATCCCTTTTGACTGCTTGGTGTTTAAAAACCTGAGATACTGCCGAGTCTTATACAGCCTGGCTCTCTCCAAATGTCTCCTGGGAAGCATACACCGTGTACAGGAAGCAGTCTTCATCCTTCTCATTCTCGTACACCTCGGAGATGGGCGTGGACACACTCACCATGCTGTGTCCATTCACCAGGAGGAAGAAGGCCTGATTAGCGTTGAGCTGTAAGCAAGCACCCTCTGATTATCTTGATGCGCTCACTCATGTTGACATGGTCAGCCACCAGGAACTTGGTTTTATCCAGGACAGGCAACTGCTTCTCACCCTTGTATCGTTCTCTGATCACCGGGATCTTGGTAGGGTGCTGTTCTCGGATGAGCCGGACATCTTCCATTCTTTGTTGGAAGCCGCAGCGCTGCTTGAAGGTCTTCTCTGATCGCATGGCAGGGGTCTGCGGGGCGCGAGTCCCAGGTCAGCGGCTTCCCTTGTTAAAATCTTCTTTTAATAAAAATGAAATCCTCATTGTCTGATGACACCATATTTTACATATTTATGAGGTTTCCTTGACATTTTGTTATACATATAAAATGGATATTGATCTAGTCAGTCATTAATATATGCACATGTACAATTTTATCCTTATGGTGAGTGTATCCAAATTGACCTTTTCAAACAATTTTAAGATATAAAATGCCCCTTATTGCAGCAAAGAATAGAATTTAGTTAAGCCATGAAGCCATGATGCTGTGTCTGTTATTTACCCACATTCTCCCCATTCACTGCAAACTGCTATTGTACTTTCAATATCTGTCATCTATCTTTTCATTTTTGTATTTCTCTTATGGGTGAGATCATGTAGTGCTTGCGTTTCAACTTCTATTACCTGATACAGTGTCTACCAGATCAATCCTGTCCTCAAGAATGAGAAGATACCACTCTTTCCTGCGATCTAATTGTGGTATATTCTTTAGAAATATCACATTTATTTTAGTTCTGTATCCACAAAAATCAACCTAAAAAGTCAGAATGGTCTCCTGCATAACAGTTAAAAATAAATCCACAGGGGCTGGAGAGATGGCTCAGTGGTTAAGAGCACTGACTGCTCTTGCAGAGGACCTGGATTTGACTCCCAGCACCCAAATGACAGCTAATAACAACTGTAACTCCAGTTCCAGGGGAACCAATGTCTTCTTCTGACCTCAGTGAGCATTTCCCAAGATGGGTGCACCTACATACACGCAGGCAACATACTCACACACATAAAATAAAAATAATAAAACATTCGTTAAAAAATAAATATTAAAAAGCAGAATCTGGGCCAGGTGTGGTGGTGCAACGCCTTTAATCCCAGCACTTGGGAGGCAGAGGCACATAGATCTCTGTGAGTTCAAGGCCAGCCTGGTCTACACAGTGAGTTCCAGGACAGCTGGGGAGACCTTGTCTCAAAAAGACTTCCCTCCCCTCGCAGAAAAACTGAAATCTCTCCTATAATCTTGCATTTTAATTTATGGATGTCTGTCTCCATGTCTCACAAATATAATTTCTAAAAATTGAAAATAATCATTTCCACACTAACAAAGTGTGCAGGGGTGTGTCCCTCAGGAGCATCTGCCTCTTGAGTGTGTTTCAGGACAGCACATCACCCCAGAACCCAGGTGGTCACAGCTTGATGCAGAAGACACCAAGTGCTCTAGCACCTTTGTATCTCTGTGCTTGGGGTTTCATGATTTGAGTCTTTAGAAAGGACCCAGTTTTCTAACACAATAGTGCACTCAATAGATAAAGAGAAAACACAACAGGGAATTCTATAAATGATTCCCAACTGGAATATTCTGTCAGAACACTGATATTTACAGAGCTTCTTCAAGTTGCATAACTAGTGTTCTACCTCTAATGACAGCTCAGCCCAAATTCCAGGTTGTTAATGGAACTTTATGATTCGGTGACAATATTGTATGCTATAAAGTTTCTGAAATTACCATAGAACAAAAATGAAAGAAGCATAACCCCTCCCGATGGACAAACATAAAAACAGACAAAATTGCATTGCAGTGTTCTTTTCTCCTCTGAGAATTTTACTTCATGAGATGTGAGACTTACTCAAAGTAAACACACACATGCACACACACACACACACACACACACACACACACACACACAGTAGCTCATCAAAGAACTCTGAGTATAAGTAAGAAATCTGCAAAAGAAAATATTCTCACCAACAGAAACAAGAGATCTGTAATTCTCTATCACCTTCAGGTCTCTTTACAAAGCCCTCTGAGCAGGATCTAGGCACTCCCTCTCCTCCTGTGAGAAGTCCACAGCCACATCACTGAATGTCAACACACCCTGAAAAGAACAGTAACAGTTTGACCATCTGTCCACAGGCAGACTGCTTTTCTTGGATCAAGGAGGCCAAAGAGATTGAGAGGCGTTTTCTGATGTAGGGAGGATCATAGTAGTCTGAAGATGCTTTTGGACATGTTCATATTCTCTACTGTTTTCAAACTGTGCAAATAGTATGGCAGAATATCCTCATATGTAGGGTGTGTACAATGCTGTTTTTGTTTTGTTTGTTTGTTTTTGATCTTTTTGACACAGGGGCTCCCTGTAGACCCAGCTGGCCTGGAACTCCGTATGTGAACCACACTGGCCTTGAACTCACAGAGATCCACCT